CGTGTAATCTTTTGTATCCTGTATGAATTGGAGAAGGTTAAAACAAATTTGCGTAGGGCAAAAACCTTTACCCTTGGATAAGAGTTTAACTTGGGCAGATGATAAGGGTAGTGAGGACAGGTTGATGACATTTCCCGAAGAAGAGTGTTGGGATGATGTGTTAGGCAGGAGGAGTGGTCGTGCTTGGGATGAGGATATAGTATGTGGAGGAGGTAAAGGGGGGCAGGCGCTGTCCGTTAGTACATACGAATTAGCAAGTGTAAGGCCATCAGGGTTCGTAGAGGTCAAGTTAGATTCAAGAGGAGTATGGGAAAGAGGGGAGACAGTAAGTACAGTGTGGGGTTCATAAGGAACGGTACTAGAGGTAGAGGCAACATGGGGACTTAAGTATGGAATATGACATACATGTACATTATCATTGTCCGGCGTAGAGTAGACCATGGGGGCAGCTTCTGGTGGAGTCAGTCGATCAAGAGCCTGAAGGGACGATCGTGAATCTGAGTCTTTTGTTAGGGCTTGTGTGACGGGGCTGGTTTGGAGAGTCGGTTGGCAGCTGGGTGCAGGCAGCGTCGGGACTTGAGGGTCTGCATGTGGTAGTGGAGCGTCTCGGCTTGCAGGTAACGGAAGGTCACACCGGTCAGAAGATAGACGATGATCTGTAGAAAGGGATTCAGGGTTACGAAACTGGCGGTTCTGAGAGAAATGAGGGTGCAGGTCTCTAGACGAGTTGGAGTGCACAGGGCGTCGTTGGTCCGTGGAAGGACTCTGTATCCTGAGGTTGTGGAGTTTCTTTAGATGTTTGCAGTGTAGTTCGGAAGAGAGGGCGTTGAGCGTTTTGACAGTTTCTTTGTCGACCGGGGCGGATCCAAGGATGTTGTCGATCATCATCATCATCATCATCATTGTATAAAGAAGGTATTAAAACAGTTAAGACCTTGTTGTATTTCCAGAAAATATGTATTATACACAGTTCGTTCGACGTTTCGCCCGGTAAAGGGCTTCTTCAGGAACATGTACAAAAAATATAATGGAAAATCTATTGACTACAAGCTATAGCAACAAAAGTGCGCGCATACACGTCATAATGGCAAAAGGAGCGATAAAAATATATCGGGAAGACCAGAGAAAAATTTAAGGCTATGGCAAGAAGTGGTATGAATATGAAATAGTATGTACGTCAAATCATATATTGAATATATAATCATTAATATCAATGTAAAGGTATTTTATAGGGCTAGTAGTAGTAGTGCAAAAGCGGCAGCTGTAGCAGCAGCAGCAACAGCAGCAGTAGTAGTAGCAGTAGTAGTAGTAGTAGTAGTAGTAGTAATAGTAGTAGTAGCAGTAGTAGTAGTAGTAGTAGTAGTAGTAGCAGCAGTAGTAGTAGTAGTAGTAGTAGTAGTAGTAGTAGTAGTAGTAGTAGTAGTAGCAGATGTTTAAGTAGTAGTGGAGTGGCATATTTTTATATTATCTACATAAGGAAAGGAATTTGTAAAACTTTAAATTCCACACAGGTAGGAAACTTATGTCTTCTCGAAACGAGCGCAAAGGCAAGGTAGAAAAGTACAAGTACATCATCACCATCATCATCATCACTACCACCGCCTTCATTATTATAAAAACTATTATCAGGTTAAATAATATAACATTCACCTCAAACTTATGGCTAGTCTTAGTATTGCACTAATAACTTCACGACATGGAGAATACTTTGTAATTTCTTCTTAAATGTATGACGGGACTATTCCAAACTGCTGCTTGTTGAGTCGAAAATACCTTTGGAAGTTTACGTCACCCAGTTCCGACTCCATCGCCAGATAGTGGAAAGCTCCGTATTCTTGTTTCTGTCGATACCTGTTGTCTTCCCAATATCTATGGCCTTTTTTTCCTTTTGTTTTTGTAGGCACTGAGAATAGAAACAGTACTGGTCATGAAAATGTGCACCGCAGCCATTGTGTCCACATCCATCTTGGCACTTGCTACTGTCTCTCTAATGTGAATTGTCAGTCGCGCACGGGCTTAGCCAGTCCCGCACGGCTAAACGTCCCCGTCGCACATAAGGAGACAGTTTTATCGCTTTTGTCGGTCGCAACTGAAAATTTAGGAGCGATGTGGCCGGCCGTTTTTTGTTTCCAGGACTCTCAGCTCATTTGGCTTGGTCCTGCCTGAGATGGTCGTTAAATTCGGAGGTCTCACCTCTTACATAACGTTACTTTCTGAAGCATGGAAATCATGGATATCTTCACCTGTAAAGATTGTAAAAAGGGCGACCATTTTTATAGGCTCCCCCCCATCCCCCGATTGAGGTAAGTTTTAGTAGTAATGTATAGGTTATGGCAAAGGTTATGGATAGTGTTAGATATAAATCACCTACCTTCTCATGTGTCCAGTCCTGGGTAAATCTTGGAGATCTCTCTCAGGAATCGTACGTATTTCCATTTGGCGTCTGCGGTCTTCCAGTGCCATATGTATTCGGCCAGGTGGGCAGATTTGTGCTGCTTCTGAGTGGGGGAGAAGCTCCTGTTCACTTCCCACCAGGTAGACTCGATCGTACTGGCGTGTGCGCCAGTGTGCAGGTCGACGAAATTCTCCGAGTGGTTGACGGTCAGGTGCGGGAAACCCTCTCGCTCCAAGCACTGGTAGCTCTTGAAACAATCGTTGTGGATGACAGTATCTGGACCGACGTGCTTCTTGGTAAGATCCACGAGGGTTTCTTGTGTGTGGTCCAGGAATAGAACTAGGAAGCACTCCTTCGTCTCGCGACAAATGCCGCCGAACACCCACTGGCCGTCCACTACCCTCCGGCAATTGAACTTTATCTTTCCAAACTTCGCCTTGTCGACCTCGACGCAAAAGTTGGTCCACCCGATCTGTGGCACTTCGTCACCACAGTAGAGACTTTCAAAGATAACTTCTCTATAATAGCGGTACAGGTCAGCCACCGTTTCCGTACTGGTTTCGCAGTCGTCGAAGTCTGGTCCCGACGTTTCGCCGGATGGCGGTGTCGTAACTACCGCTGTTGACGAAACAGTATGCGGAAAAAACACACACTTTCCTGAAGGAGACCTTGGCGTCTTCAGACCAGGTGTTCTTCGTGATTGCTCCACTTGAATCGTTCATGTGTCGCGTTGTCCCTTTTTGAGAAGAGCACCTTGTCCAACAATTCCACGACAGCTGGGACAAAGGCAGGATTTGGGGAACAGTCCCCACTTCTGTCCAAACTGGACACACTCCTCGATGGTAGCGGGGCAGCGACACAGTTAGGAAAATTTACGAAATCTGGACAAATCCTTACATACTTTTTGGTCACCTGACGGACCGTTTTCTTACTTAGTAATTATAACAGAAGGAAAACAAATACAGTCACACTTACACGTATAGATATCTACTCCAAGAACGCAAGCGTGCATGCACACTAAACCTCTCCTTGGAAAACACACACAAAAACACGTTCCTCTTGTACTGGCAGAACAAGAATGGAAAAAACTGGCTGGAACTATGGAAGTTAGGTGATAGATGCTGCCTCTGTAGAACAAAAAACATAAAACACTCGCAAAAACTCAAAACACTTATGCACGCGTGACGTCGGCAAAGCGGACCCGCCATGGCGGGGGGCAAAAGCCCAAATAAGGATTGCAATACCTTGGAAGTAGAGAATCTTTGGTAATACTAATACTAGGCCTACTACTAGATCTAGATTTAAACTAGTCCTTCTTTGGCCTTTGTAATTAGTCCAATGAGAAACTAAACAAATTTGCGTAGCTGCCATTCACATCGGAAGTGTCGGAAGTGATATTTCGCAAGGTGCATTTTGTTTTGAGAGTATAGATCTAGATCTAGACCTTCTAATTTTTTTTTCATCTCTCAACATTTATTGCTCCTTTCTAGTAGAGTGTAAATTAAGCTGGCCTATGACTTCCAGTTGATGTTAATGCACCTATCATTCCTTTCATCGAAAGGGGGACCAACTAGTTATAAATAGTTGTATAAATGTTAATTTCTTTTCAAAGATTAAACTGAGGAAGCAAGCCTGGACTGGATTCCTGTTCCTGTATGTCAAATCATGTTTGCAGCACAATGTACACGTCTGCTGGATCGACAGAAGTGCAGTGTAACCCGGATAGAATTTTATTTGCCCCCTTTTCAAGTTTGAACAGCTGCGTCTACAGGTTCATTTCCTAGATCTTGTTTGAGGATTTCAGGATCGAAGCATATCAAAAAGTCGTCAACGTATAAACAATGTGATACATGAGTTATGGTGGTAGATCATGATTTATCCTAAAAGGGAAATTTGTCAAGTTGTAATCACGAGTTTCAGTTTCAGCGAATTTTTACAACTGGCAATATATCTGAACATCACAAGTGTAATGTATTTTTATACAATACTGACATCAGCTAGCAAAACATATCCGGACCAGCAACGTTCAAGGACCAGTAAAGTGGATAAGATGATCCATTCAAAAGTCTCACTTGACAGCAAAATGTCAATGCCCCTCGGAGTCAGATTGTGGATTTGGATAAAGTCTGGATTTACCTCTAGATTTTTAGCCATTTGTATTTATCGACATTCGTATATCTCGCTCCGCGAAATTAACCCCGAGCAAAACAATAATAACGTAAGCATAGACAACGCATCCAGAACACATACGATTCAATAGTTGAAAAATAAAAAAAACTGCATTTATATGCCGTGTTGTCGTTAGAATAGAGATGACTTTGACTTTGATTTTAAACTTCTCAACCAAAACAAACAAAAGTCTGGGAGTAGTTTGCTAGCAAAGACTTGTGCATTGCACTAACATAAACCACTGCACTCTGACACAATCCCGATTCACTGTGGAACTCACTATTTGACTCAGCACACTGAACCATAGGGACACTGGGAAACTGGTGTTTGGCACTTTATTTGGGCGCTTATGTTTGGTTGGGAAGAGAAGAGACGTAATAATAAAATATGCGCCAAAATTCAGCCTTAAAAATGTTGGCATAGGAGGGGGCCAAAGGGGTACCCTACGATGTGCCGGTCTTCTGAAGAAAATTTCGATTGTTGAATGAAAAATATTGTCTCAACAGTTTGCAATTTTCTAAAGCTTCCGTTTGTTGTAGGGTGCAAGGCTTCTGAGGGCTGAGCGGCACGCCTCAATACCTTCTTGGTGTGATATGTTGTTGTACATGTTGACAACGTCTATGGCCAGAAAGTTCGTTTCTGGAGTGAGGATGTTTTCAGAATTAGCCTAATTGCTTCTAATTGTGGGAGAACGTGGAGGTTATCTTTGCCCCAATGGATACCACAGAAGTCAGGGACAAGGGGTTTGAGATGTCTAGCCAATAGGATACTCTGACGGTAGAACCATTTATTTGGGATATAAATATAATGCCTCTAACTGGGGAGTTAGGGGTTGTTGTTTTTGGTAACTTGTGGATCTTGGATAGATCTAGGCCAAGATCATCATCATCAGTCCTTCTTACTCCGTGCTACAGTATAATAACAATAACAAGAGCATGTTTTACAGTTGACAAAGTACACTTAAGACTTGGTTAGTGTTGGTCAAATTTAATCAGATGATCGAATGGATGTTCTACGTTTCGCCCCTTGGGCTTTTTCAGGAACATAGTAGATCTATCTGAGAAAAAAAAAAGTGAGTGATGACACCATAGCAACAAAGCGTTCATTATAAGTTACGTAATGGTGCAATACGGATAATATCGGTAATCGTCGATTAAGTTAAAAAAGAAAAAGCCCACTAGTTACGTGTACAGCCTTGGTCCTGGCTGAGCGTAAAGATACGTTAAAATTGGTCACACATTTTGCTAAGAGCTCATGCAGAACTGGCATAAGTATATTTTTGCACAAATAGACCACCATCTCTGTATACAGAGAACAAAAAAGATTGAGACTTGGTAGGATTTCCAAAATGTTTTATAATACGTTCAACGTTTCGCCCGCTACAGGCTTCGTCAGGAACATTTGAAAAAATAGACTGGAATACAAAATACAATGGGTGAGAAGTACTTTACGTCGTAAATATAATGAAAAAGTACATGTGTAAATTCTTACATTTCAGATTCCTTTGGAAAGCTGAAGAATGCTGGGTCTGGTAATTGTGCGATATCGAATTAGCACGGACGCAGACTGCCGCAAAACACCACATACACTTGCGGGTGACTTGCGACTGCCGACAGCCGCCGTTAGCTTTGTTTACCGCGCCTCGTTTCACGACCAGCTGACGACCTAGA